CTCCCTGATCGGTACGAGACGCAGGTCGGCGAGCGCGGGATACAGCTCTCCGGCGGCCAGAAGCAGCGCATAGCGATCTCGAGAGCGATACTGAAGAACCCGTCGATACTGCTCCTCGATGAGGCGACGAGCGCACTGGATGCCGAGTCCGAGAAGAGCGTGCAGGAGGCGCTGGACCGCGTCATGGTCGGCCGCACCACCGTGGTGATCGCGCACCGCCTGTCGACTATCCGGAACGCCGACACAATCGCAGTCGTCGACGGAGGCAGGATCGTCGAGACAGGCACGCACGAGCAGCTCATGGCGAACCCGTGCAGTGCCTACTCCTCTCTGATCCAACTTCAAGAGGCTGCCCAGCTTCAGCACAAGCCTTCTTTATCTGACAGCGCAAGCATTACCAGGCCACTAAGGTATCTTCTCTACTGGCCATCGTAAAAGAAGGCCAAATGTGCCACTATGATCTGATAAACTTAATTCGTTCACTTTCAGTTTCAAGTATTCAAGGGAGTTGTCCGGGAGGACGAGCATGGGCGCCAGCTTCCGCTCCGACAAGGACTCAATCAGCCGGTACGGCGCTGGCGAGGCGCATGACGAAGTGCGCAAGGGGAAACCCGTGTCCATGAAAAAGCTCTACTCCATGGTGCGCCCGGATTGGTTCTTCGGCGTGTCAGGCACCATCAGCGCCTTCGTGGCTGGCTCCCAGATGCCGCTCTTCGCGCTTGGCGTCACGCAGGCGCTGGTGTCCTACTACATGGGGTGGGAGACCACGAAGCTGGAGGTGCGCAAGATTGCCGTGCTCTTCTGCTGCGGCGCCGTGCTGACAGTCGTGTTCCACGTGATTGAGCACCTCAGCTTTGGCATCATGGGCGAGCGGCTCACCCTGCGGGTCCGGGAGAAGATGTTCTCGGCCATCCTGCGGAACGAGATCGGGTGGTTCGACGACACCAGCAACACGAGCGCCATGCTATCGTCGCGGCTCGAGGCTGATGCAACTCTTGTGCGCACCATCGTCGTCGACCGCTCCACCATCTTGCTCCAGAACATTGGTATGATCGTGACTTCGCTCATCATCGCCTTCATACTCAACTGGAGGATCACACTGGTCGTCCTTGCCACCTATCCCCTCATGGTCAGCGGCCACATCAGTGAGGTGCATACTAAACACAAGTTCTTTGCGTGCCTAATCGTCGTATCAGTGTCCAATCAACTAAGAATCCTGTATGATCTATGGAACAGAAAATGTTCATGAAAGGCTATGGCGGCAACCTCAGCAAGTCCTATTTGAAGGCCAACATGCTTGCCGCGGAGGCAGTGAGCAACATCCGAACGGTGGCTGCCTTCTGCTCGGAGGAGAAGGTGATAAAACTCTATGCGGACGAGCTGAAGGAGCCTTCTAAGAGGTCCTTCCGGCGAGGCCAGGGCGCCGGACTCTTCTACGGAGTCTCCCAGTTCTTCCTCTTCTCCTCCTATGCACTGGCGTTATGGTAAAGTGTTATATATTGGATGGAACACAATGAATTTAGTTTCTGTACTCCATCCAGACGTAAAATGTTCCAAAATTCAGGTATGGTTCAGTACTGATGAGGAAGGAATTGGCCAGCTTCAAGTCCGTGATGAAGTCCTTCATGGTGCTCATAGTGACGGCACTGGCAATGGGGGAGACACTAGCAATGGCACCTGATATCATCAAAGGGAACCAGATGGCGTCCTCGGTGTTCGAGATCCTGGACCGCAAGACTGACGTCCGGATCGACACAGGTGAGGACATCAAGAGGGTCGAGGGGCTGATCGAGCTGCGCGGCGTCGAGTTCCGATACCCATCTAGGCCCGACGTGACCGTGTTCAACGGCCTTGACTTGCTGATGAAGGCCGGCAAGAGCATGGCGCTTGTCGGGATGAGCGGCTCTGGCAAGAGCACCGTGCTGTCGCTCATCCTCCGGTTCTACGACCCTATCGCCGGAAGAGTCTTGATCGATGGTACGTCTTGTTCAAAGATAATTTATAGCTCCAGTTTTTCCCCGACAAAATCTTCTGCCTAGCCTAAGTGCGTTGATGCAATCTGCAGGGAAGGACGTCAAGAAGCTTAAGCTGAAGTCTCTGAGGAAACACATCGGCCTGGTCCAGCAAGAGCCAGCGCTGTTCGCGACGACGATCTACGACAACATCCTGTACGGCAAGGACGGGGCCACGGAGGCCGAGGTCATCGAGGCGGCCAAGCTGGCGAACGCGCACTCGTTCATCAGCTCGCTGCCGGAGGGGTACAAGACCAAGGTCGGGGAGCGCGGCGTGCAGCTGTCGGGCGGGCAGAAGCAGCGCATCGCGATCGCGCGCGCCATCGTGAAGGACCCGGCTATCCTGCTACTGGACGAGGCGACGAGCGCGCTGGACGTGGAATCGGAGCGCGTCGTGCAGCAGGCGTTGGACCGGGTGATGAAGAACCGGACCACCGTGATGGTGGCGCACCGGCTGTCGACGATCAAGAACGCCGACGTCATCTCGGTGCTGCAGGACGGCATGATCATCGAGCAGGGGGCGCACCAGCATCTGATCGAGAACAAGAACGGCGCCTACCACAAGCTCGTCAACTTGCAACAGCAGCAACAGATGCAGACGCAGCAGAGCTCATGAGACATTTGGATAAAATCGTGCGTTTGTATCTTGCTGTGGCGTTGTCTTTCTTGGGCTTTTTGTAAAAGATCAGCGCTGGTAATCTCTTCAATGAAAGGGAGTGTTCAGAATTACATGATAAAGCGTTATTGGATTGTTATTCCTTTGTACTAGATTATTACAACTGAATTTTAGGAGTGTGATACATGTGTATCACTGACTCCATGATTAAAAATTGGGTAAAATAGATTTTTTAACCACCAGCTCGCATTGAAGTTCGATTTTCAACCTTCAACTATGAAACCGAGAAATAATAGACTTGTAGGACCTCTAGGTGCAGATCAGTGGGAAAATTCTTAACTTAGATAAGAAGACTTGGTAATGTACCTCGTCGAGTACAGTTGCGGCCGTGACGCCGCCAACAAGGTGGCCCCGACGTGTCGGTGTAGGGGAAGCTGTGCAGGCGCCCGCTAGGTCGTCGACGGTAGCAGCAGCGTAGGCGCGGAACAGTGGCGACGGTGAAAGTGGTGTGGACTTCCCGTCGCTTACAGCGCGCCCTTCTAGATCGGACTAGGGCTAGGAACCTCGGTGGGGCGCTGGCGGCTACGGTGAACCTCGTACCTTGCGCCCCGGTCTCCACCTTTCTCTTTATAGCGCTGCGCGACGGGGGCCCATTAGCGAGGAGAACGGCTGGACACCCCCGATCAGGACGTGGATCAAGAGCCTAATTAGCCGTTGGGCTAACTGGTAGAGATCAATCTAACATTCTCCCCCTTAATCTCATATTCTCCCCCTTAATCTCATCTTATGACTTAAACTTAACTTACTTTATCTTTTTTCCATTCCATCGCAGATCAGTGCATAGAGCGTGCCTCATTGTCACGATCAGTTGTCATTAGATTAAACAGCTACAATGCATCTCTCTGTTTTGAAATAAATTCTCAGCTTAATATCTAGAAATTATAGGCTTTCTCACGTGGCTGATTAGCCTTTCAACAGCGTCAGCATCCTCACCGCAACGAGGGCCCGACAGAACGCTTGGGCCCTTGACAAGCAGCATCGACTTGCGCCGGCCTCCACCAACTAGCCCTGCTCTTTGTTTTGGGTCTGCATGGGCCTAAACGGAAACACGCATGTAGCACCAGCGGACAGGAAAATTAAAAATTAGAAAAAGGTCTACTTTGCCCTCAATATATTGCAAAAGTCAAACTAGATGGTTTTTTTTATATTTATTTTAGCTGAATCTTTGAAAAATGACAGTAAATTATTAAAAAATCATAAAATGGAAAATTGAATTTTGTTGGACTCCACATGAGTGGATCTTCACATTAAACATATGATATGGTAATTTTTGCTCTAACTTTATGTCTATGCTTTTCTATGATCCTATTGTGGTGAATTTTTTTATGGTGAACTGATCATTATATGCTTGAGATGCAGTAAAAAATTTATACTCATTGGATCATGTATGACGGAGTTATAGACTTATTCAGGTTTATGCTTATTAAATAGTTTTAAAATAATTAAAAGTGTGTAAAAATAGAAAATATATGTTCTTTGTGTAATTTTCTCTGTGAAAGCATGATTATTTTAAGTGTTTATAAGATATAACAATAGTAATATTATATAGATAACACATGAAAATAAAGCTTGCTTATTACTCCCATTATATCAAGATGCATGAAAGCTCGTCGGTGTCTGCTGGTTAGTTCTGTTAGTGGATCAGAGTCCGTGTGCATATATCTGCAAGATGCGTAACGTCTATAAGATTCGTTGATTTCTTTTTTTTTTGTTTTGTTTTTGTGAAGATGATTTTTGTGATTTTGACGGTGTATTTGGCTGTGTATTCTCATCGATTAGTTTGACCGTTTCTAATGTTTGTGGTGTTTTAAACGGATGTGCCTCTAGGCTCACATGCTCTTAGGCAAGGTTTTTTTTTCCTCTTTTGATTTGAATATAAAAAAAATAGAAATTATGTCGGACAAGACTATAAAAAGAAAAAAAAAAGAAAAACATAGAGTAGCAAGAACTGGACAAAGAACTTTTAATTCCAAAAGAAGAATTAATACTTTAATAAAAATGTCTTAAAAATTGAGATACATGACTCAAACAGCTAAAACACACTTAGGAAACCCTACCGTGCAAACCTACCAAATTCTGCCCAAAAAAAAACAGCGGAACTGTTTGCCTAGAAATCATAGGAACATGATGATGGAATATTCCAAAATCTCTCAATTTCCTCAAATCGACCAGACAGGAAAGAGGAGAAGCGTAACCGAAGTCCAATATAAGACTACGGCGGTCTCCATTTTTCTTCCCCGCAAGCTCGCGACCTCGCCCAGCGGCCAAACCACGCTAGCTAGAGTTTGCGGTTGGAAGAGGGGAGGAGGAAGATGGCGAGGGACGACGGGTTCCCGGTGTGGGAGGCGGCGCTGCTCGCCGGCGTGGCTGCCGTCTTCGCTGCGGGGCTGGCCGGCGTCTACGTCTCCATGCCTCGCTCCGACTACAGCTTCATCAAGCTGCCCCGCAACCTCCAGGAGCTCCAAGTCCTCACGTAATCCAACCCTCCGTAGCTGCTCTAATTTCGTACCCCCAAAGGCCCAAGCCAATTTTTTCACTTTTGTTTTGATTTTAGAATTGTTTTGTTTTTGCTCTTTTTGTGATTTAAAGTTTAACAGATGGCCTAAATCCTACTTCGATCGTTCTAATTAACTCGTGATTGTCTAGCAAGACAAACAGATATATATGATCTTCAAGCTGTTCTTTGTTGGGTTGCATTGGTAGATTTGGCAGTGTAATCGTATCTTGAAGCAAAAGAAGGATCTGTTGTGCTCCTTGTCATGTTTGATATGGCCAATTAATATTATTCGGCAATAGAATATAGGTAGAATGTGAATTTATAACATGGTTGTCCAAATCCAAGTAGGTTCATGCACTTTGCTGTGTGTGGTCCCCTTGATTCATTGAAAAAAGTAATAAATTCCGTAGTTTTCGGAGTCGGTGGAGTTTGTAATCCTTTCTTTTCGATATTTGGTTTCTGACCAGCTGTAACTGTCATATGGTTTGAACCTATTCACAGCGTGTTTTGTGATGTGTGCCTTCCTGTTCAGTTTATTACTGTTAGCTCACAAAGCACGTTGTAATCTTGTGTACACACGTGAGCACATCTTCCTTGTCATCATTTGTAAGTTAACAGATGCTGAAGTCGCTGATATTTGTAAGGTCAGGTCACCACTCACCAGTAAATGTAGAGTACAGCACTACAGTTTTACTTCTTTTTTGTCAGTTCAGCAGTAAAGTTATGGTGCAACTTTATTTCATGACGAAGTTATCATCTGGTAGTACAATTCAGTATTTGTCAGTTTGACACCAGAGTTCAGAGTGTTGCCAATATGTTGCTGTAGGATTATGTATGTTTCAGTTCCAATGTCTCTAACTGTGGGAAGTGGATCGCCTGCCTTGCAGTGTCCATCTGGAGGGCTACACCAGTGACTATACCATCCAGGTGCTGGTGGGCTACTGTGCCGTGTACATCTTCATGCAGACGTTCATGATCCCAGGGACCATTTTCATGTCCCTGCTTGCCGGGGCCCTCTTTGGGCAGCTCGGTGGTCTAGCCCTGGTGATCTTTGCTGCCACTGCCGGTGCTTCTTGCTGTTATTTCCTGTCCAAGCTTGTAGGGAAACCACTGGTCTTCTCGTTGTGGCCAGACAAGCTCACGTTCTTCCAAAAGCAGGTAACGGCAGGACGTGCATTGTTAGTTGACATGCTGTTATGATGATGCTCAAACATGGAATGATGCCTTATTCTCAATTTACTGCCAATGTGGAACAGCTACTTCGTTGATTTGATGTTCTTATAGGAGTATTTAGCCACTTCATGTTTATATTATGTCAGTGTTGAATTTACAATGTCAATGCCCACAACTGAAAAGAGTAAGTAAACAATGCCCTTTAATTTTTTTCAGGTTGCAAAAAGAAGAGAGAAGCTGCTGAATTACATGCTTTTCCTGAGAGTCACCCCAACACTGCCCAATACTTTCATCAATTTTTCTTCACCTATAGTGGGTGTGCCATACCATACTTTCTTCTTGGCGACAGCCATTGGCCTCATCCCAGCTGCCTATGTGACTGTCCGGGTATTCCTGCTTCTACTGTACTCGTTCCCTCAAGTGCATTCTTCGTGTGTGTGTGCGCGCTAATTGGTTATCCTAACTTTCGCCTTTCTGATTTCTAGGCTGGAATTGCTTTGAGCGACCTGAGATCGTTGAATGACCTGTATGATCCACAGTCGATAGCGGTGCTGTTCCTGATCGGGCTTGTTTCGGTGACGCCAACGTTGCTGGGAAAGAACGAGACGCCAAGCAGAGCATCAGACATGGCAGCTAGCACCAACTGATCACTTACACGCCGCCCAGCTCTCCTCTCCTGTATGTACATACAAAAGTCCAGCGTTTGGTGGTGGCTCCGAGACTCTGGATCAAATAGAACCCACCACGAACATGGCGAGGGCCCCCAGTCTGTCTCCACTTTTGTGCTGATTTCGTAGAAGGGATCGGATATCTCATGATCACCTCTCGTCGTGAATCTTGCTGGCAAAACGGGCTGGGAACAGGCCTCCTTCGGTTGCTGTGTTTTACATTGTTTAGATGGAAGGTTTCACTTTTCGCAAAAAAAAAAAAAAAAAGATGGAAGGTTTCACTGATTGTATGTATCTTGCACACGTTAGCCAGATTCAATCAATACAGCCGATTCAGTGATTCATTGATGAACGTTTGCTGTGTTGTCGTATGCCTGTGAAATGTTTCTTCAGTTTAGTGTATCATGTGCGTTTGCGTGTGGTCTGTGGAGATTTTGCGTTTGTTCGGACGCGACACGGGATGCAAGTGGCCCGTCATTCTCGATCTTGCTTTATTTCATATAGATGTGTGATCAGTGTTCATTCATATTTATTCAGAGGAGGCAATATCTATATGTTGACGATAGTGCGTTGGTTGGTAACGCATATGTTCGCCCACCTCTTTGTTGGGACCTCTTGAGCCGTGCAATGGCATGGACGACGATGTGTCATGATACCGTGGACCTCATGCCCCGGCAAGGGGGTTGGTGGCGCTCCGAAATCCGCTGGCTGCTGACGAGGCATCCATGCTCCAATCCTAGCCACGAGCCAGCACAGCCAGTAGCCACAGGTGTGGTGTGTGCCATTGTGTCCACGGTTTAAGCGTTGACGTGTCGGCTACCTCAGCTGTCGTGATCGGACCTCCTTGGTCCTCACGAATAGTATCAGCAGCATCTTTTTTTATGAAAAATATCAGCAGCATCCTCACTCACCCTACATATGGGCATGCAGCCCGACACGATGCCCGCTTTTTTTGCCCGGCCCAAGCACAGCCAGGCCCAGTGGCCAACGGGCCCGGGCTGGCACGACCCGAGGGAGCAGGCCGTGCCACACTCGCAACGCGTGCCTCGCTCGCCTTCCGTTCCCCACGCCTCCCATAGTCGCGAGCACCGCGCCGCCTCCTCCTCCCTCGGTTCCCCCTCTCTTTCCCAGGCTGAGCATCACGATGGAGGCTCCCCTCCTCCCTCGAGCCTCCTTCTCCCTCAAGCCTTGGCGAGCGCGACGACAGCGGCTCCCCTCCTGCGGTCCTGCCTCGCCGTGGAAGGTGGCGACAGCCCTCTCGGTTCCACGCCCCTCGCGCCCCGGCCTCCTCCACGGCGGCGTTGACCTCCACCTCCTCAACACTCCATTCTGCCCCCTATGGCCAGATCTCCGGCGAGTGCGGCATCCTCGAGCTCGCTGTCCGTCGCCACGGATCTGGCACCGAGCGCCTTAGGGTGAGCTGTGAGCGCGCCGGCAGGGCGGCCGACGCCACCTCCCGCGGTGGCTGCGCCCCCTCCCCGCCCCCTCTCTCTGCTGGCATTTGGTGGGCCTCGGGCCGGCCCGGCACGAAAAGTGGCCCATAGTGCCGTGCCTGGGCCGAAGGCCAGGCCCACGTGCTTGAGAGGCACACGGGCACAGCGTGCCATGCCGGCCCGATGGCATCGTGCCGGGTCTGGCACGGGCCCGTGCCGTGCTGTGCCGGGCCGGCCCGTTGACCATCTATAACTCACCCCAACGAAGGCCCAACAGAACACTTGGGCCTGTGAGAAGCAGGAGTTCGACTCGCCCCGGCCTCCACCAACTAGCCCAGTTCTTTATTTTGGGGGTCTCCATGGGCCGAAGCGAAAACACGACATGCAGCACCAGCGGGCGCGCGACGGCGGCAGCCTGTTTCGGCGTTTCCGCAACAGAAGCCATCCAATCCAACACTCGCCTCCCCGCGTCCACGGCGGAAACGGGCAGGAATCGCGGGCAGTGGCCACGGACGATGATCCCACGCGGCGGGTGGCCGCTTTCTCCTGCAGCGCCGTGCGGGGATTCCGTTGGAACGTGCAGTGCTGGCGTGCAGCGGCCGTCCGCCCGGTGCGCGCACGGCGCGCGCCTCGCCTCCTGCTGTGTCCTACACAACTGCACAAGCACGGCCGTCGGCCGCGCCGCACCTGCACGTCGGTGCGCGAGCTGTCTCCAGGCCAGGCGGCCACCTGCCGCTTCCTTGCGGGGAAGGTGATTCTTGTCCTGGGTTGCAGTTACAGGCTACAGCATGTCATGTGACACAATCCTCGCCTCGCGTACGTATACTGATTGATGGGCCTGCTGGCCAATCCTTTACTCTCACACGTGCGTACGCAAACGCAATCCTCCTTTGTTTCACGGCTTTCTCGTTCATAGTAGCTTAGCCAGTACCTGTCTCTGTCCAATGCTGATTCTCTGCCCATGTTCGTAATGTCCCTGTACCTTGCTGTCTCGGTAGATTCAGCTGGAAGAACGTGATGCCCCCCTGGGATTTCAGGACTGTCCCAAGATAAATGCCATATCTCAGTAGTATTTACTATGCAAGCGGATAGCAATAGCAGGGCACGGAAGTGATCGAGGCATTTTAACAGTGGCACATACTACTATCTGCAGATTGTGTGGGCAAATGCAGTGTTTTCTTCCCGACATTGTCCACAGGGATAATGTCGTCGCAGCACACGTCCTGGGTAATGGGGGTATCCTCTACGGTCGGAGTGTTTTCTTAAGACGCTGCGCCGGCAAGAACGCAAATCTGAATGAGACATGCCACGCGTGAGCTCTGAGCTTTGATCCCTACAACAACCGCTTCTTGATTCCGTGCACAGCTGTCAGACATCCACATGTTTCCACTGAAAAAAATAGGCCCCGCCCGCACATGTCTTCCACCCTCTCAGCCGTGTCGCTCGTCCGTCCCTCCTGCGATGCGGTTTAGGAAGAGACAGCTCCCGCATGGCGAAATTCAGAGTTCTTCGATGCGCAGCACAGACCAACACCAACTGGGAGTTCATCATAAGCCAGGCAGCCAGCAATGCGGTTGAGGACTTGAGGACAGAAAACTTGCTGCCAAGAAAGCGGAACCAAACGGCTTATGAATTCCATTGCCGTGTGCATGCAGACATGTGAGGCGCAGGGCTATCATTTATGCAGATGCAGTGATGCCGGATTGCCGCCGGACTGCAGGCTGTACTGACCTTTCATTCAGGAGGTCGGAGAGATACGCGGACACAATAAATAGCTCAAGTACATTGACATCCAATGTCCACAGACCCTCACACTGGACTCAATTGAAGTCAACAAGACAGAGGAAGTGCAGCTCCATCTTGGTTCTGCTACAGATATTTTACACTCACAAATGCTGTGAAGTATATACGGGAACAAATGAATCGAAAACCCACGTCCCTTTACATTAACATTACCCCAGCAGGCGAAGAAATACATGGACTAGAGTACCAATATCAATGCTCCTCAAAACATGCACAATATAAGAAAATAAACAGAAAAAGGGAAGCAAATACATCACCCTTCTGTTCTCTTATGAAACTTCTTATACTATTATCTTTACGGCGAAACCTGCAGTTCTGCTGAACCAAAGTGAAGATGAAGCTAGAGAAATAGTCATCCATTTTTTGTTCTTTGAGATGGTTCGATTTGTTCTAATGCTGGCTTTTCTTCTTCAACAAACCACCAAATTTCTTCATCAAAGGCTTCTTCGGTTGCTGCTGCTTGATTGCCAGCTTCGTGCTGTTGTTCACCCTGTTGTCTATGGACAACCTGTGGCCATCAGAGGCAGCGTCTCCCTTGTTGGACTCCAGATCAAATTCTGATTCACCGTCTTTCTCCTTCTCTGTAGATAGATCGTAGTCAGTGACCTTGCTGTTCTCCCACATCTTTGTAGCGATCACTACAGGATCATCATCCTTCGTATTTCCCTTGTCATTCTCATCTTTTGGACCTGTTCCATTTAGCACTTTAGCATTGCCAAGCACGGAAGATAGCTCCTTCAGCTTCTCTGAAGCATTCGATTCTTTGACCTGTAGCTCATCATTCTCCTGTTTTATGTTCCGCAATTCATTCTCTTTGTCTAGCAGCTTTTCTTTCCAGCTCAAAGCTTCAGCTTTGGCTTCATCCTTGGCTATGTTCGCTTCCTCTACCTGAGCTTCCAGCTCCTTCAGCTTCTCCTCCAGCTCAGCATTTCTATTTTCGCAGTCTTGCACCTTCTCTACCGCCTTATCCATCTCAACTCTCATTGTACCAATTTCTTCTTCTGACTTTTTGATGGAGCTCACAAAGCTGACCTCTTTGGATTGCCACTCCTCAGATGTATTCTTCGCTTCTGCCTCCATTCGCTCCACCGTCTTCTTCAAGCAGACTCTCTCGTAGTTTGCTTCATCAAGCATCACTTCATAGTTCTCCTGGGTGTTCTTGAGATTCGTGTTGAGCTCCTCTATTTGTGCCTTGGAACGCTCAATCTCTTCTTGTTTGTTCAGGTACCTCTCCCGTGCCTCTCTTGCCTCACCAGACATTTCATGCAACGCTGAGGCTAGATCTTCCATAGCCTTCTTAACTTTCTCATACTCATCTTTGCTAGTTTCTAGTTCCTTAGCCAGCCTCTCCTTCTCTTCACATATTGATTCAATTTGTGAACTTGCATTGTTCTCATTGTTAATAGCATCCATCTTCTCTTCTTCCATTGCTTGGAGCTTTGACTGAAGCTCATTGATCTCTTCCCTCAGTTCAAATGCTTCTTTCTCAGCAACATCAAGACGCTCATTAGATGCAATAATATCTTCATTCTGCCTAGCTACCTCTTCTTCCAAAGCCTGCAACTTGTTCTGAAGGTCAGAAAGTTCAGACTCTTTCTCCGAAAGCAAGGTGCTTGCTGCATCCAATTCTTTCATCACCGAGTTCAAGGAATCAACCTTCAACATGTAAGACTGGTTGGCTGCCTCCAATTTAATTTCGAGAATTTCAGCCTTTTGCTTCCATTCATCAGCTAGCTCCTCTGCCTCTGCTCTGGCCTTCATAGCATTGGCAGCATCAACTCTCAGCGCTTCAATCACACACCCCAACTCAGATACCTTCTCTTCAGCATCCTTTGCCTTCTGGAGCTCAATCTTCAGTGTAGAGACCTCCGCCTCAAGCCTCATGATTTGCTCAGCGCCTTCTCTCTCTTTGCTCTCCAGCTCAATGTCAAGCAATTCTTTCAGGCGAGCAACCTCTGTGTTGAGGACCTCCACCTTATGAGCATTCACTTCATTGAGCCGGATAGCATCATCCACCTGATTAATGGCCAAGTTCTTGGCATCGATCGCATCAGCGAGCTCATACCTAGCCTTCCCGAGCTGCTCCACTGTGGACCGCAGCGCAGTAGCATCTGACTCCTGCTGGCTCCGCATGCTCTCCAGCTTCCTCTGCAGCTCCCCCTCCTTCCTCTGCATGGACTCGATGCTCGTCTGCTCCAGCTCGACCGCGCGGAACATCTCGGTCTCGGAGGCCTCCTCCGCCTTCTTCCGCGCTGCGAGCGCGACCAGCAGGTTCGCATTGGCCTCGTCGGCCAGCCGCTTGGCATCCTCCAGCTCCTCAAGTGCCTGGACCTTCTCGTTCTCCTTCTCCGCCAGCTGCTCCTTTGCCCTCTTCAGCTCCTCCTGAACCGCGGCGAGCTGCGCCTGCAGTTCGTGAGACTGCTTCACGGCGCTGCTTTGCTTCTGCAGCCATTCCAACGGGATTAGTCACATCCCAACAACCCAAACGGCACCAAGCAAGATCAAGCGACGCTGATGACGAATCAAAAGAGACTCGTACCTCTGCAGGCGGCGTGCTGAGGCGGGCGAAGACCTTGGGCGTGCGGCGTTCGCCCGATGGCGGCTTGTCCGCCGACCCAGGGGACCAATCGGTGGCGCGAGGCGCCTGCGGCGGAGTGCCATTGGCCGGCTTGGCGGGGCCCGGCTTGCTCGGCCTGCTGCCGCCCTTGGGCGTCGGCGGCGTGGTCTTGCCGCTCTTCCTCTCTGCCGCCGCAGATCTGCGTTCCAAGAACCAAATTTTTTGCTCAGATCAAGAACCGGACCACGCGACCTACCAGGATCTGCAGCCGAAAAAAAAGAAAAGAATTGTCGCGCAGAGCCAGAGAGATCGATGCTTACTTCGGTCTGGCTCCCAGCATTGCTCCGGCTGTCGCAGGCGGTCTCTGCAGCTCCGAACCGGGACGGGGATTGGGAGGGAAGAAGCAGTCGGTGTGTCGGTGTTGGTCGCTGTGAGCAACAGCAGAGCACAGGGCAGCCGTGGTGGTAGCTAGGGGGGAGGGGAGGAATAGAATCTGATCACCGGCACCAGCGTCATGAACAGCTAAGCTGAGTGTATATGTGTGATTCGTATACGGATCTCACATCATTAGGCTGGAGAGAGAGAGAGAGAGAGAGAGAGAGAGAGAGAGACAGTGATTGAGAGGTGAAGTGTATAAAGCCAAGAGAAAGGCAGGGCTTGGAGCCTGTTTTAAAGCTCTAGATTAATAGTCGTAACAGTGCTTTAGCAGAGAGAGAAGGAATAAGATCACGCATTGTTTGTGTGGCAGTGCCAGGGTTAAAAATTCAGAGAGCACGCTTTGCTTGAGCCTGCAGCTCTTGCCCCCTCTAACCACCGGTGGCCTGGCCGAGCAAGCAGACAGAGGGTGACCGTGGAAAAAGACGTCACCTGCTTGCTTCATTTCCACTCTTTCTTTCTCTCCAGTTCTGGCGTGCTCGCTTTTACAGAGTTGTACGCCGGTGTCTCTTGTGAACAGAGCAGCGGCGAGTGAAAAAGGCCAAAAGGGCCAGGTTCCAGGTGATTTCACAAGAAAACCCCCCAACATTTTGCCACTTCCCAGCGTATCTGGTAACCATGTTTTTAGGTCCAGCTGCACGATGAATTCAGAGGAGTTTCGAACAACAGGAAAGAAGATTCAGTCTATCAATTGTGCATGCATTTTTCTAAAAGGAGTCATACCAGAAGAAGCTTCCACGGCAAATCATAGCAGGTGCTGGATTTGATTGAAGATTGAGCAGGAGAGATAGTTCGATTATCTTGTAATCCGTCTTTTTCAGCTTGTTTTTTTAGCCGAAACAATGTTTTTCTCTCCCACACAAATCAATCAGAACAGTGTGCATGTTTTTTCAGCGAAGTGAACGGGGCCATAAGGAGATGTTTTTTTTCATATCAGAAACTATGTCTATAGAAGAGTAAAAATGGAAAGAGTTGTGATATATATAGATGATATGAGATAGGTGATGGATGATGGATGATTAGAGAATAATTTTATTTATAGAAACCATTTATTAAAAATATATTTTCTAAAGATAATATCTATATTAAATACTAAATATGAAAATTATTCTATAATTTTATGGTTTGGACTGTCCTTAGCCCCGAACATGGCCACATAAACAATGTCGTTTTCATCTGGGCAACGTGCTCCGGCCATAACATGCGCCGACGCCGTCCATCTCTGTCTCCGGGGAACCCAGCTGTGCACCAGACGAGCCGGAATTCTTGGCTAATAATTGCTGATTAGTACTCCGTACATTATCCTCTTCGTTTGGTCCATAAGTCATGATTAAAAGTACTGTTGGCTGATTTATCGTGAGAAAAAAATATTGTTTATTAACTAAAAAAGTACAACTTATAACCAAGCGAACATGAAAACTGGAATTTGAGATCCTCGAAGCGCATTAAACTGGTTGCAACTTGCTCGAGAGGACGAGGAGCAAGGTGCAAGAAACTGAAGAACGTGCACGGTGATCTGGCATCGGAATCCGGGGGTAAAAGCGTACTAGGCCGTATCGTGTCGTGGTGAGGGGCTGAGAGGGGCACGGTGCCGCACGCACCACGCAGCGATGCTGTCCAGGAGACCAGAAACCCAAGTGGTCAAGAGAACAGTAACGACATGCGAGTCAATGCCGTCCTGGAACCCCGTTAATTACTCTAGGGGACTATTGCGCCGACAGGGAAAAATACTAGTACTAGTAGAATGTGTGGCCATCGTGCACGCACTAGTAGAAGCCTATTGGGACAGCATCAGAGAAAAATAATGCCCCTACGAAAGAGCATACTGCTGCTCCATTATGGGGTTTTTTAAAGGACGGTACTCATCGATTATATAATGAGTAGAAGAAAAGGCTTGTGCATCTTTTCAATGCCTGAATGGTACAGTAGTATTGTATTGACTGCTCAGTACCGACAGCTATCCATATTTTTTAATGTGTATATGTAGGTCAGAATAATCAATTCTGCCTTGTTTTTCATGTGTGTTCTATTTGAGGGAAAAAAGTCGTGGAATAGTGTTTTTCTCTCACAACAAATCAACTTTAGCCATCTTATCAGCCGCAGAAACCATCAGCCGAACAGATTGTTTAAAATTGGTTGTGCTTTTTTATGTAAAAACTTTCATGGGAGCATAGCTGTTAACATACTCTAGGTTAAGATATCATAACTTTTTTATGATTATTTTCATCGGTTGAGAGCTGATACTGCCTTATCCCACCAGATAAAAGGTATTAAAATGGTTAACTAAAATTCTCAAAGTATTGTTTTAATGGGCTATGATGTTATTTACTTTGTTTTTTTATTTATCTAGATACAAAGTTTCTATTATAACATATATTTGGGTGCATAATAAAAGCTAGCTATAGGCCTGCTTGGTTGCAAGCTAATTTTTGCCAAGCGAAAATATGGACAAGTTCAAAAAGATTTAACACGCAATTGGTTTAGTTCTAAAATTTTGGCAAGGCCATATATCTTCTCTCTTGTTAGCAGCAAACCAAATACCAAACTTCGTTGCCTTACCAAAATATTGGATTGTCCTAATTTCAGAATACTCATATTTTTGGGCTTGCTCTAAAATTGGCTTGGCAAGAATTAGCTTGCAACCAAATAAAAAAGCCAAACTGAGTTATAATTTAGAAGGAGGTAGCAAACAAAAGATTTGTTTTTATAACAGCAATTTTTATAGCAGCAAATAATTTGTTTACAAAAATATCCTCTGACGTAGTTTTTTTTTTATAAAATCCCCTGACGCGGTCGAAGCCCAACTGCCATTTCACTATCGTAGATGGTCGCTGAGCTAATCGGCTCCTTTCGTCGTGGCTTTTATCGATGCGCTGCGCCGGTGTAGATGAGACGTCACTGTACGCGCAAATTCCTTTCACCGACGCGCGGGGCAGGGAAATATTAAGAAAAAGATGGCTGCGCACTACAGAAAAAAGCGCCGAGAAGAGACGACACTTGCTTCCATCTTTGCCTCTGAAAAATACAGTATGCTACAAACAAAACGTGCCCCCCATCAATCAACTCTACAACAAACAAATAAAGCAAGCGGAGAAACCTAAGTACCGGGACAAAAAAATACACGCGCGTTAATACACGACCTACTCCTCATCATAGACCAAAAATTAAGAACATGATCCACGCCACGAACGGACATCCGTCCGCCGCAACCTTTTACCAAAAAAAAAAGCAAACACTACCTTGTCCTCAGCAGGATCTTTCTTTCTTTTTCTCCCGGGAAATGAACTGGATCTTAGTTGGCATGGAAAGCCACGGCCAGGGGCCATGAGGGGGATTATTTGCTGTTGTTAGTTGCTACAGCCCGGACACGATTGATGCCACTGACCGATCGAACAGCGCGATCTTCTCTTCTCCCACCGGCACCGGGCAGTGCCCACATCGACCGGTGATCACCCCGCCTATGGTCGTATGGACTACAGAGGCTAGGAGCCTAGAGCCCAATCAGAACACTGCTTCCTGCGATGGTGCCGTGGTATGTGCCGGGGTCATGACAATCGCCTCCTTCGTTTGGGCCCAAATAGTCACTGGCTCACCGGCTGGCTAGCGAGTAGCGACCGTCCACACGACTGTCACGACATGATGCGTAATCTGGTGCGTGCTGACTCTGACTGCTGAGGGGTCCTCGTGGCTACAGTCCGGTGCGTGCTGCTGCCTGCTGCCGGGTCCGGCAGCCTCCTCCGTTCCGTTGGTAGTGTTGCGCTAGCTCTAGGCTACGTATGCACGGATTTCTCTAGCTCCGCCTCCGCCCCTGCTCCGTTGGTGGCGTTGCGTAGGGATGGGACGTAGCAGTGATGCTGACGCAGGAAGAGAGCGTGCAGCGTGGTTTCTGGATGCCCGTGGTCCGTGAAGCATACTCCTAGAAGACGTGAAATTGTTAAGAGGGAGAGGAAAAAAAGGAAACATGGGGTGAGAGAGGCTCGAACTCTCGACCTCAGGATAACTCAGATTAGCTATGAGACCTACGCGCTAGCCAACTGCGCCACCACCCCTTTGATGCCTGGTCAACCAATATTTCCAAAAACCTAGTATCACTGACCATTAAACATCGAGACGTGGAAAACCATTTCAGAGCATTCGAGTGGTAAAGCTGCCACAAAGGCGCGCGGTACAAGTACAACCCTCCCTAAAACAGTAAGCGACACTTTTTTAGCAAAACCAACCCAAAAGCTACCAGACATGACCAAACAGACGGTTTTTTTTTTTACAATTTAGCTCTTTTTTTTTTTAAGAAAACTTACGTTTGGCCCATGTGAGACGTAAACTCATCTTTGGATCCTGGGCGTCGGCGCCAGGACTCATGGCGTCGAGGTAACACGTCTCAGCGCTACAGATCTTGGCTCCGAGGTGCCTAGCCGTGCACAGCAGGGCATCCTAGGTGGCGTTGACGTGGCCGGTACCTCGGCGCCAGAATACATGGCTCCGAGGTCGGCACCAAGATCTGTGGCGCCGACCTCGGAGCCATGTATTCTGGCACCGAGCATGCATTAAAAACCCATGGTCAAGTTTTCCTTGCCGAGGCTGCACTCATTTCTTCCTCCTCCCTCTCGGTTTCTTTCTCTCCCTAGCCCGCTCAATCTCTTAAATCGACGAATTTGACCTTGGATACTTGAATTTGATCCATACATCTTCGCGAGCAAGGTATCCTCTCTCCCCTTATCATTTTTTACGTATTGATTTGGTATATATTACGTCTATTTTGTAACCCTAGATACGTTATTACCTAATGTTTGAAGTGATTTTTTATTTTTTGTATTATGTAACGGTAGGATGTCAAGACGTGGTAAAGCTAGTAAGCCAAGGTAATCTCTTATCATCGTGTTATATTATGTTTTCATTTATGTGTAA